AGTGGGTGCTTTCCATGGGCCCTCAGAAACCTGGAGCTGACTCTGTGCTCAGCGTCTTGGTCTGTTAATAGCTTTTAAGAATGTTGACTTGTTTCATGTTTTTTCTGTGTGAGCTGGAAAAGCAAGCCCTGTGCAAAAGACAGCAAACCAGGCCTCTCTATTTTTCCTCTGATGAAAACTTGTGAAATTTGTTCACAGTCTAAGGTTAGGCAGCCAACATTTCAGAAATTACATAAAATGAGTTCAGTTCAATCATTTCTGGAACACGACTGTGCACCACCATCATAAAATCAATGCTGGCTGGAAGCGCCCATATCTGTACTCTGGCACATTCCTGAAAGGCAAAGCATTTTAAAAATTATTTGCTCCCTGTGAGGAAGGATCTTGCTGAGCCATCTCCATCAGTTGCCAAGTTTTTAACAAAATATTTTTTGGCTGCTTCTTTGGGATCTCCTTTCTCATCCTAATGGATTTTTCTGTCTTATAGCAAATCAGTAAAGTTTGTTATGAAAGTGATGTCCTTGTACAGGTGGGGAATTCAGCAGAGTTCCTGTATTTTCATTTGTTGACAGTGCTGTCTATACCCTTGAACCTAGTTTTTGGAAATGGTGAAAAAGTACAAAGGGTAAGTTAAATTTCAGGTGGGTTAAATTTCAAGCATTTTTCAGGTGAACTTTGAAAAGGGTGACATCAAGCTAAGAACTGGCTCCTAATTCACAAAGCACAAATCTCTACTTGTCCAATTAGAAGTCACACTGAAGTCAATGGGACTTCCTTCCAGGTAAATGGAGATAGCAATGCAGACTTAGGTTACAATTCTGTGCCCATTTACCTGGCAGTAAAGGGAAGTTGTAGTGGGCATGTATAGACGTGTACTGTGAGTCACTAGGAGTACTGTGACCTGCAGGTTCAGGACAAAAATAAAATAAAATGAATAAAAATCATGTTTGTATAACTGTTTTGAACCCTGTTCCTAATGAAGATAATGGATACTACAACTGAACATTATTCTTTCTGGAAAATACTCTTATTCTTTGCTTCAGTGCTATATTACTAGTAGCCAAAACTGCGCAGTTCAGAACGCTTCGTAGTATTATGAGTGACAAAGACAGTGGTACCTCATCTCATGAACGCCTCAGTTCATGGCCAAATCGGGTCATGAACAAAAATTTCAGAAAAAAATTGACTCGGGTCACGAACTCTGCATTGGGTGGCAACCGTGATTGCACCTGTCTTCCCTGCACAGGTGCGATCGCGGTCGTGTGGGGGGAGGGGGGGAAGATGGCCACAATCATGCTGGGGGGGATGGCCATGATTGCAGTTGCACTGGTGCAGGGAACATGGGTATGATCGTGCTCGTGCTGGGGGTGGGGGGAGATCACGCCTGTCTCTTCTCCCCCTCAGCGTGCCCACGATTGCGCCCATCTTCCCTGCGATTAAAAACAATGTTTACAGAATGGATTAACCTTATTTACATTTAACCTTATGGGGGAACTTGGCTTGGCTCATGACCAATTCGTGTAGTGACCAGAGTCGTGGAACGGATTAAGTTTGTGAGCCGAAGTACCACTGAACCACTAATAAAAAACACACATATGTGAAATATAAAGCAATTTAAACATCGACATCAATTTCAGTGAAAATACTGGACATGTTAAAATGAGAGTTGACATAAATGCCCCGTCATATGCCTTTGCATACCACTGAAGGTCTGGGAGTAGAGGACCATCTTACACCAGCACAGAAGGCATGACAGTGGTGGTACCAGGATTGAGGAGCAGTGGTTCCAGGGAGGAGATCATGGGTCACTCTCATGAAGTCCTCTTATTTCTACCCTCTGAACCTCTCTTGGAAGTGGAAATCAGAGGAAGATCTCCGAAATTGAACATTGGGTAGATTTAGGTCAGGAGAGATACTCCGTGAGGGATTCTGGGTTTAAGCCATGCAAGACTTTATAGGTTAAAACCAGTCCATTCACTCAAGTTTGGCAGCATATAGGTAGCCAATACAAGCTGACCAGAAATTGTCCTATATGTTCAGACCTTCTGGTCTCAGTTATTAATCTGGCTGCTACATCTTGCATGAACTGCAGCTTCTGAACAGTTTTAAAGACACCCGCACGTAGAGTGCAATGCAATAATCTAACTTGGAGGTTAGAACTGAAGAACTGAAGCCAGGTGATTCCTGTTCAGGTAGGGGCATAGCTGGGCCCCAAGCTATAGTGGCACTCCATGCCACTTAGACCCCATTAATAGCAAGTGACAGAGATGGCTTCAAGAAGACCCCCAAGCCACAAATCTGATCCTTCACAGGTTGAGCATCCTCCACCTGTTCAGAAGAACCAACCACTAACATCATCTCTGTCTTGTGTGGATAGAGTTCAGTTTCTTAGCCAACATCAAGTCCATTGTTAAAGCCAGGTGCTGATTTAGCACATCCAAAGTCTCACCTGATAAACATGAAAAGTAGAAGTAAAGCTATATGTCATCAGCATGCTGATGCTAATGCACTCCAACATTTTGGATGGCCTGACTCACTGGTTTCATAGAATCATAGAATAGTAGAGTTGGAAGGGGCCATGACGGCCATTGGGTCCAATCCCCTGCTGTTGCAGGACACCAGGTTACACCAATGCACTCAGATGGCTGTCCAGTTTCTTTTTGAATGTCTCTCATTCAGTGGTTGAGCAGGAGGGGGTACAAAACTGACCCCTAGAGAAACTCATGCTGGAGATTCCATTGGCCATGAGCAGTACTCCCCAAGCATCACCTTCTTGAACTGGCCATCAAAATAGGAGCAGAACCACAGTAGTACCTCCCTCCCTGCTCTAAACTCATGCAGCTGCTCCAGGAGATACCATGGCTGATGATATCCAAAGTCACTGGTAAATCCAGGAATATCAATAGGGTCACACTCCACCTGTTTATCTCCCAAAGAAGGGCGCCATATATGGCAGCCCAAGCTGTTTTGTGCCAAAGCCCTGCTGGAACCCCAACTAAAATAAATCCAGATAATTAGTTCTCCCCAAGAATACCTGAAGCTGATTGGCCACCATCTGTTCAAGGATCTTGCCTGAGAAAGGAACATTTGCCACTGGCTTAAAGCTTGTTTGTTTGTTTGTTTGTTTATTTGGAATGCTTGTATGCCGTCCCGTTTGCATAAGCCTCGGGGCGGCTTCCAAAAAATAAATAACAATGTACAAAAATATAAAGATTGGATACATCCAGGCAATAAATAAAAGCAATAAATAATTTAACAGTTAATTAAAATAACATTTAAATAAAAAGGTCATTTAAATTAAAATAACATTTAAATAAAATAAAAATAACAACAATAAAAAGTTGTTAATATCTTCTAGGTCCAGAGAGGATTTTTTCAGGAGTTATCTCACCACTGCTTCTTTCATATGGCATGAAACAATCCCTTCTCATAAGGGGGGATTAATCGCATGCTGGGCACAGTCAACTGCTCCTTCCCTGTTAGATTTTATAAACCAAGGTAGGCAAGGATCTAGTGCAGAAGTGGTTGCATGAACTTGTGCAAGCACCTTGTCAACATCCAAATGCTGTACAAAACTCATCCAAGAAAATTGGACCCCGTTTGCTCTGGATACCTTTAAATCATTTGGCCTCAGACCAGCATTTTAATGGGGAACCAAAAACACACCAAAAATGTGTGTTCTGTAAGTTTCATGGCTCTTATTCCCCAGTGAGCTAGGAATTGCAGTACTTAATGTAATGTAAGAAGGGGGAGCTGAAACATGAAGAATTCTGGTGTGTGTGTGTGTGTGTGTGTGTGTGTGTGTGAGAGAGAGAGAGAGAGAGAGAGAGAGAGAGAGAGAGAGAGAGA